AGAGGTTTGAGTGCTGAGCTGTGACATGGAGAAGAGTCATGGACAGTTAGAGATCCTCATCTCACCTCTGAGCTTTGGTCTGGCTGTCATGTTCCCCACACAGAGTGGTTTTAGAGGGAGGGACTCCCTCCTCTCTGTCCTCACACCGATTCATGCTGCTCAACTCACACACACTTTCATCTGGAGAGGAAACACACATCATTCATCTGCACATCAACTCAAATCCTCCTTTACATCATTTCTCCTGTCAAAAGATCAGCTGCTGTTATTTTCTCTTTCATATCAGTGTCAGCTGAATGCAGTCAGACAGCAGCTGCTCTACTTCTACTATCACTCCACTAGATGGAGTCATCCAGCTGCAGCCCAGCACACACACCATGCATGGAGCACCATTTACATTTGAATCCTCTGTCTCATTTCTTTCTGTCACATCCACCCTTTTCAATGTGGAGGTGAGACTCCAGGGACCAGAGGCCTAAAAATCTCTGTAGATCCATGACTAAAACCATAGATATATTCATGTAGATGTTGCTCTGGGATTGTGGGATGCATCACTACCGCCGCCGTATTAGGTCAGGACTCATTTCTGCCCAGACCGTGTAGACATGTGGTTTTCCCTGGGCATAAATCAGAACGGATCATCACAGAGGAATTCCACAAAACTGCAGGTTTTTCAGTAGAGCTGGGCGATATGAGCAAAATCTCATATCCCGATATAGGTAATTTCATATCCTGATAATGATATCTATCCAGATATAGCACATTTTTATGGGGTCAGATCAGTCTCATAATGAATGAACTCACGCAGGGTTTTTCACGAATGCACATGCTCTGGTTCACAGTTGTATTTTGGACACACTAATGCACACGATCTGTTTCGCAAATGCACACGCTCTGGTTCACAAATATAATGTTTATGCAAACTTGTAATATAAATTGGGAAATGCACACGCTCTGGTTCACAAATATAATGTTTATGCAAACTTGTAATATAAATTCGGAAATGCCAACGATCTGTTTCTCAAATATTATTTTGAGGCACACTTGTAATATCAATTCACAGATCATGCGAATCCCTGAATGTGCATTTACAAACTGCTTCTCATTTGTGAACCTCTCTACATTTTTGAGAGAAATCTGTGTGGTGAATTTTGAGACTCACCTGACGTTGCAGGTCAACGGACAGACCTGCAACATCATAAAACTGATTGACAGATTCATCAGGTAATCAGGTGTGTTCGCTTTCAGTCAATCGTATGGCTCCTTACATTATCTCCACACTTTTAAACCAATCGCAGAGCTACTGAGCTACTGTTTGCAGTGTTCAAACAAGACGCGCTAGACTGAAACGGTGGAAGAGACATGGATCAATCTCAGCCTGCTGTTAACACACTTATCTTATTATCCCCTCGTTGTAAATCATGCAATGTTATTGAATTATAATGAGTTGAAGCATTCTGCTTAGCCAAATAACATGTTTGAATGAACATAAACTATGAATACAGCCATACAATTGGCTGAAAGCGAACACACCTGATTAACTGATGAATCTGTCAATCAGAATCATAAATTTGATTGACAGATTTATCAGCCAATGGTGACGTTCGTTGACCTGCGACGTCAGGGGAGTCTCAAAATTCACCACACAGATTTCTCTCACAAATGTAGAGAGGTTCACAAATGAGAAGCAGTTTGAAAATGCACATTCAGCGATTTGCATGATCTGTGAATTTATATTACAAGTGTGCCTCAAAATAATACTTGTGAAACAGATCGTGTGCATTTCCGAATTTATATTACAAGTTTGCATAAACATTACATTTGTGAACCAGAGCGTGTGCATTCGTGAAAAACCCTGCGTGAGTTCATTCATTATGAGACTGATCTGACCCCATACATTTTAATCCAATGAATAAAAAGCTGTACTCTGCACCACCTGATCTGGTCTGAATATGGGCTAAGGGGTCATTTATTGTTGCCGTCTCACTGCTTCTCTTCTCTTTCTCAGCGCTGCGGGGCTGAGCCCTCAGCGTGTGCAGCGCAGCAGAGACAGACAGCGGTTCAACTGACGACAACTAAAGTCGTTATGTTACTGTACGTGCCGTAAAAGCTTTGCGAATTAAAAAGCCAAGAAGAGTAATTTATCAATGTGATCCGTGCAAAGGATGGACAGACTCCAAATGACAAAAAATATTGCCGTGAAAAGTGTAATTTGCGCCACAATGATATAAACAATAGACATTTTTCTCTGGTCACACGATATATATTGTTATATCACACAGCCCTATTTGCCAGTGTTAATAAGAAATTAATCTACGTGAATACATGATGCAATGATTCATGAATACTTTTCATATATTTAAAGATTCCATCCCATCATAGCTCCATCTGAGAATAAAGGACATTACGTGAATCAGAAGTCATTTCACAGCAGTTCAGCAATTCAGTGAACCTCAGCCTCATGTTGACAGAATGACGTCAGTAGAGGTTAAATTTCTCACCAGTCTGTTTAATATCTGTGTTTGATTTTGAGTCTCTGCCCAGTGTGTTTGGGCTCCATCAGATTACAGCTGAATATGAAGATTTAATGAAATATATGAACACTGTTAAGATATAAAAATGTTTCTGTATTTTCTGTATATTAGACACATTAACTCATCACGTTACATAACATCACTTCACATTACCTATTAACACACTCTGTAATCTGTTCCCATCCCATCTGGTGCTGTTTAGCTGCAGCTGACTTGTTACATTTTATTTTGCAGACATGTTTGAGGTCCACATACACAGCCGTTAAAATCTGCAGTTCAGTTTGGGATCAAATAAGAGTCTTTCTGCTTTCTGCCACTGAAAATCACGTTATCTGCACTCCACTGATGTTGGCTTTCATTGCTCACCGTGAACACACCTCCCTCAGACTGAACATACTCAGAGTTGATTGAGTTGATGCTGATCAGCTGTTCTGGAACTGAAAACAGCTCAGACTCAGTCAACTCAATCAAAGATCAGCATTAGCACTCTTTCTGAAGGTTTTTTGTGCGTACACATCATTTATGCATCTGGGCCCTGAAGCACTGAGAAAAAACCCATCATGAGGTCAGTGATGTAAAAAACTAATACAAAAATTAACAGACATGAAGAAACATTAAAACTCTAATTATCAGTAAGATAGAAACAGATTGTTCCACTTCATTACTAAGTTGATGTAAATCTGATATTCAGAGCACAGCAAAAGTAACTACATGTAACCAGAAATATTCTACAAGCACTTCCAGATCATACTGTAGTAAATGTAATTACTTCCCACCTCTTAAAGTTACAAAAGCATAAAAGGTCATTTGATTTTATTTTCATTTTGGTTGATTGATTTGATTGATTTATTTTTGTATTAACTTTGTTTCTTCCTCGTGCTTATGTGTCTCCTTTTTAAACAGATGCAGCCTGGAACTAGTAGTTGATTTGTTGATCAAATAATGTCTGGTTGTTACTGTAAGACGTTTAATAATGGTTCAACAAGGTGAAAAGAGCAGATCACCCCCTCCAGAATATATTCTAACTATCTGCTTTGACAATCGATCACATTTAAATCCAAAGTGACAGAAAGAGCAGAGCTAGGTCCTGTTAGAGCAGCGCCGGCGCATTTAGTGACGCACTCCAAATCAGTCCCACAGTGGGAATATAATGACGGAGCACTCACTGACACTAACTCACCTCATTATTATTGTGACTTTACATGTGCAGCCAACATGGCGGCTCTCTGCGACGGAATAACAGTTGTTAGACCTCCTTTGTCCCGAGTTTCCAGTGAAGTCAGACTCGTGTTAGTTTAAATTTCTGCTGTTTCCACAGCTTGAGTTAATGAATCAAACGTTACATGACGTGTTACATTACCTTCAGCTGGAGGTTCAGATGGAGAAAACAAGCTGCGTCAGACGACCATTGAAAGTGAAAGTAAACTTTGAACAGGAAACAGTCAGAGAGGTGCGGCTTTTAAACATGAGTCATGTCCGCTCGGAGGTGCTGCTACAGTTGTCTGATGATAGATTAGTTTCTTTGTGTCCAGTGAAAACCACGTATCTCCAGATGTGCTGATGTTAAATGTTTGTGATAAACTTAAGGATGAAGTCTTCCTTTATAAAATAAATTCTTTAAAAACCCTCTTGGATCAGCTGGAAAACTCCTCGTCACAAACTTTTTACAGATGCGTGGTTCCCACAGGACAAACACATAATGATCTTATAGACCATGATGCATTGCTGTAGATTAAACTACCCAACAGGATGTAAAGGACAGGAGGGAAATGACACAATAATGCAGCAGGGATATTAAAAATTAAAACATTAAATTCAATTTGAAAAAAAGGTTAAAATGTTAAATAAATAAATAAATTAGAATAATGATATTACAGGGAAAAAACATGTCAACATGTCTGTATTTGTGTCTGCAGCTCTGCTTGTAGTTCTTGCTGATGTCCACTAGAGGGAGCCATTACACCAGAAACCAGCAGCTGACAGGTGAAACTATAACCTAGGCTGGAAGAAGTATTCACAGCTTTGACTGCAGTATTTAAGTACTGATACCACACTGTGAAAATACTCCACTACGAGTAAAAGTCCTGCATTCATAACATTACTGAAGTTAAAGTATCTAAATGTAAAGTGGTTAAAATACACTGTCACCTTACAGCAAAGAGTGCTCCAGGTGCTCTGACATGTTCTCCCTGTGTCAGTGTGGGTTTCCTCCAGGTGCTCTGACATGTTCTCCCTGTGTCAGCGTGGGTTTCCTCCAGGTGCTCTGACATGTTCTCCCTGTGTCAGCGTGGGTTTCCTCCAGGTGCTCTGACATGTTCTCCCTGTGTCAGTGTGGGTTTCCTCCAGGTGCTCCAGCTTCCTCCCACAGTCCAAAGACATGCAGGTTAATTGGTGACTGTAAATTGTCCGTAGGTGTGAATGTGAGTGTGAATGGTTGTCTGTCTCTATGTGTCAGTCCTGTGATAGTCTGGTGACCTGTCCAGGGTGAACCCTGCCTCTGACCCAGTGTCAGCTGGGATAGCCCCCCCCCCCCCATTTTAAATACTAACGCCCTTGCCTTGCCAGCCATATTTCCTGATATTTAAAATTACTTATTTAAGAGCAATTTGAAAACCTTACAGTACACATAGATAGATAATTAGAATCAGAATCAGAAATCCTTTATCGATCCCCGAAGGGAAACTGTGATTCATTAAAGTTGCTCCAATATAAAGAATAGAGAATTATTTGAAGTAAGAATAAGAAAATCAAATGATAGTATGTAAATATAAAGTGATAAGATAAAATGAAAAATAGAATGTGCATTATACGACAGTGTTTAACACTAGTACATAGTATGTGTGTGTATATATATATATATATATATATATATAG